CTAGAAAGTTCCAGAAAATTTTAGAACCCTTCAGGTAATTCTAGAAGGATCCAGAAAGTTCTAGAAGACTCCAAAATGTCATCGTACCACTATACTTATATGCGATTTTAGAAATATCGTGTTGAAGGTGGTAATGTCAGTCAAATGGTGTACGTGATAAACGCTTGGGCGATCATGTCTCTTTTGATTCATGACTCACTAGGCAGAAGTTTTTTTTTTTTTTCGCAGTAAATTGCCGTTTCTTTCTACGGTAGACTGCTTTGTAGTCAGTTCTGCTATTCAACGCCTAGCTGGGAGAGAAGAGACGGATTCATACCTTTCTCAATGGATACCTACTGGTATATATATATATATATATATATATATATATATATATATATATATATATATATAAGACAAGCTGAAAAGCAACTTGCCAGCTGTCAATATAACACATAACACCCTTGAGCGCTTAGCCTTGGAGCGGGTAGAATGGAGATCAACGTGTTTTAGTGGACTCAGCAGTTTTCAATCTGCTTGTCTGAATCATCTTCAAGAAGCGAGAGCAAGAACTAAAAAGTTCAGCCAATCTAACAGTGATCTCATCTCACAATCCTCACTCTTGCTCCATATGTGGCCTCCTTTGTAAATCACTAGCGGGTCTTAAATGCCACTTAAGATTACCGCACAAAATTTCATAACTGAATCAACTAAGCTGTCAGATTCTCATACGTCGAAACCGACGGGAGATTCCATTACACACACACACACACACACACACACACACATATATATATATATATATAGAGAGAGAGAGAGAGAGAGAGAGAAAAGGAGACATTGTAGTCAACACCCAGCAGCGAACCTCAGTTTCATTCTTATACGCAATCGTCAGGCTATATGTGTTGCGTTTTGTTCGACTATTATATATACATGTCATTGATGCAAAGTGGGTAATCTATCGTAAAAAATAAAAATAAATAAATAACCTAAATAAATTAATAGAAACCAATAAATGAGTAAATAATTCAAGTAAATAATAAATAAATTAGCAAACCACAACACACACATAAGCACAAATAAACAACCAACAATAAAATAATCAATTATGAATAAAAGTTAACAAACAATACTATAAATATCCAAAAAACTGCATCCAAATCCACAATAATTTCCAACCAATAGTCCACCGAACAAGCCGTTAGAACAGTAAAATAGAGTGACTTCAATTTTTTTACTATACTGTTTATCCTGTAGAAGGAATATGGGTGAAAATAACGGTTAACACTAAACTTTATCAGTTTAAGTATAATCGAGTAAGTATACTCTTGAGAATCGGTTCCATAAAGCAGCCGTTTTTGTGGGAAGAACCTGTTCGAGTGAAAGTTACATCTCACTAATGGAATACGAAAGGAATTATTGTGGCATGGCTAATCTTAGTCGTGAAGTTTAGAACTGCGGGGACTAAGGAAATTCCATGGAAATAGTGACAGATCAGCGGGAGTCTGGAAAAGGATTGTAGAGTGGAAAATAATTCATCAACCTCAAGGACGAGAAAACTCTGTTAAGACTGGAAAGCGAAAACTGGACAACTCCTGCACATATATATGGCAGCAGTACTCCATGTTCGGCCTGATTGGTTCTTGTAAAGGTAAAAGATAGCAGGGATCAGGTACTTACTGGAGTGGTATAGAGTACTGATCATTTTCCAACAGCTTTAGAGATGGATCGAATGTATGAGTCTTAAGTCTCAATAGTCGCTCAATTCACGGAGCCTCCCTAAGCGAACCCCGATCATATATATATATATATATATATATATATATATATATATATATATATATATATATATTATTTATATATATAATGAATACATAATCTCTCTTCTTACATTGAGCTCTCTCTGGATTTTATATCCTCCTTGGAATTATCCTACTAATTATCAAATGATATATATATATATATATATATATATTTATATATATATTATAATTATTTTTTAAAAATATGATTCCATCGCTACATAAGAGTTATCATGTTTCAAAAATAGAAGCTAAAAAATTCAATAGAGTTCTTATGTTTCAAACGGTTCTTTCCTATTTTTCTATATATTTGCACACACACACACACACACACACACACACACACATATATATATATATATATATATATATATATATATATATATATAATGGACTCTACTGAGTATCTTTCAGTCAGTTCTTATGTTTGCTTCGTATGAGAAAACAAACCTGCACGGGATTTGCAAACAAGTCAACGTGAAAGACATACTGAAGACCGTCATATGAACTGATGTCTCAGCCCAAGATTTAGTCTTGATTCTTAATTCTCTCAGATGATTGAGACGATTCTTTTCAAAGTTACTTATACCTCAGTAGTTGGTGTTTCTCCAGTTTGTTTGGTTTTCGACGGCGAGTTCAAACACCCCTGTAGGTATTTTTGCAGCATTTAAATTGTATTTAAGTTTATCATTAAAGCGTAACCAAGGACGGACTACATGACGCTTACCATGAAAAAGTTGGCTATATATGAGGATTTTCGACATCCAATCATCACTCATTCTGATGACATGACCAGCGAATCTGAACTGTGATTGCATCAGAAAGGATTCAATACCACCGAGACCACATTTGATGAAAAGATCAGGGTTAGAGATTTTGTCCTGCCTTGTATAACCGAATATTGAACGAAGACAATGTTTATGAAAAGCATCAAGTTGAGTGATGTGCGTCCTATATGGTGTCCACGATTCTGAGCAATAAAGAAGTGTGGTGAGAATGACTGCTTGATAGGAACTGATTTTCGTTTTCAGTGACCCCACACACATATATATATATATATATATATATATATATATATATATATATATATATATATATATATATAATAGAAATTAGGAGGATTTTACATAATTATAATTAACTAATTCATTGAGTCTAGAAAAAAACCTCAACAGAATGCAGAATGCACTGGACGGACGTTTCGTCCTATATTTGGGACTCATCAGCAGTACGCATCCACTACCAAGAATTGAAACCCGGACCGTTACATGAGACAAACGTCATAGCAACTGCACCAACGGGCCTCGGTGACGAAGAGGTAACGAATTATATTCGATATAGCGCCGCTCGATCACATATTCCGTGGTGGAACCCATCCGAGTTTTCCCTTACCCCTAGGACTGTGCCCACACGAGCGACGACTACTAATAACCAAGCCTCTCTGGAGCATTAAAGCCGGTTCTAGCAATGATATATTGTATATGTATATGTATAGGGACAGCAGATCATTATTCAGACATCTATTATTAAATATAACAGACAACGAATGTCTATTATGTTTTATCAGGAGTCATCCCAAGCTTCGTATATTGGTTTTAATTTCAGGAGCAACTGTCCAACGTTTGGATATTCCTTTATTATGTTTGTTCATCGATCTTATCATTCGTCTTACATTAACCATCATCAGAGTGGTTATTTGGATTATACGACAGACATGTTCACCGTCAAAGATGTCACATAACAGACGCATTTCGTAAATTTATAATGTTGATCTATGACATCATACATGAAATACATTATAATATGTTATGACTAGTTTGAAATTTAATATTTTGAGCGTGGTTTGCTTTGTTTTAATGTAGATCGCCTCTAATATCTCAAGGTTCTTTTTTACTGTGTGTATGTGCGAGTATTGTGTTATCAATTAATATCTGTCTAATATTATGTACATGACTATGTTTTTCTAAGAAATGTTGTTTAATGGAACTGATATCACAAAGATGATAGGTGAGTCTACGGGAGAGGGTGGTTGTAGTAAAACCATTATATGTAGTGGGTTTATTATTAGTATTAGAGATACAATCTCTGAACTGGGATAAAAAAGCAGAAAAGAAACAGATAGTATAGAATTTACGGCTACATCTATCTAGCTCAATTATAGATTGATGAGATCTCGACGCCAGTCTAGTACTGCGCTTAAATTCAGATGGTCTTGGTATCGTAACGAAGAGTGATATTTATTTCCGCTTATTTACAGAAAATGTGTCACAAAGCCAAAATGGGGAATGGGGAAAAGGACGGTCTTCTTCTGTCTTAACATTAAAATTAGCTAGTCACAAACACTGACCCAAGCATACTACAATATTCCTAAGACCAAAAGAACACATTCTTACTTACCTTTCTTACTACATCCACCATAATACCTCATTGTCTCTATGAAAAGAGAATTCGGACAATTACCAAAGTATTTATAGAAAAGACACAGAGAGGCAACCTTACGGCGGCGGGACTGTAACTGCAGCCGAGCCGTCAGATCAGGACCAATAATATTCTTCATTCTTCTTTGAATATTATCAAGTATCTGTAGATATATAGCAGGGTCACCGAACCATATTTGGCAGCAATATTCTAAGCATGTACGAATGATAGACTTATAGATATGTATGACAGATTCCGGAGAGAAATATTGTCTCGCACGACACAACAGGATGTTCTAAAATCTGGCACCACAGGAAAAGTATACAAGAGAGTAACTATATTTTATTTATCAATTATCGGTTAATTTATCAGTTGCAGCACATTTTCAAAATGATATCCATTTACTTCGTTGCACTTCCATACTTATAAAAAAACAAACAATATATCAATAATTAAATAGAAATGATACTGTTCAATGCATTTGCTATGAGGCCAGGATTGAAGTGCAGTGTGATGTAATGCATAAGCTCTTGGAATAAGAAATTGGAACGCAGAATTCGAATACCATTCGAGCTGGTTACATTCACTTAGATTGGAAATGGTATCAATCCATCTGTTCTTGAAGGTATGGTCTAAATAGCAGGACAGATTACGTCCTATAGCCTTTGTTGGCAACCAGTCTACCGTAGAAAAAAAAAACGGCAGCCTACTACGGGAAATTCTTCTGCCTGCTCAGTCAACTGAAAGAGATCGTCCAAGCGTGTATCACGTATGGCGCCAGAACTTTGAGACACCTTGTATATGAAACGCACGAGTATCAATGAAAGAACATTATATGTCCCCTTTCTCTCTTCTATCGACCACTTTCTTTTCTTTTATAACCCCTCCTTACCTTTTCCTTACTCTTTTTTCCTTTTTTTCAATTTCCTACTATCGCATTCTCTCTTTCTCTATCTCTCTCTATATATGTCTCCAGCTCTTTTTCTTTCTTTCTCTCTCTCTGCCTTAATACTCAACCTGTTCTATCTATATTCTTCTCTCTCTCTCCCCTTTACTCTTTGTCTTTCTTTTTCCTATTTTCCATACGCTTGATAATTCTCTTACTTTCATTCTCAATTATTCTTCTCTCAGTATCATATTTCCTGCTATTTCTCTCTATTTCTCTCCTTTCCCGCTATCTCTCTCTCTCTCTCTCTTCATATCTCTCTCCTCTATCTTAGTCTCTCTTTCTCTTTCTCTTTCTCTTTCTCTTTCTCTCTCTCTCACACTTTTCCTCAACCGTCCTTTATCGCCCCGTTCTTTTTCTTTCATAGCTCCCGCCTTATATTGTCATAACCCTTTATTTTTCTCTTCTTTATTTTATTTTCCCCCTATCGTATTCTGTATTTCTCTTCCTCTTCTTCTACTTGTATCTTTATATCCTTCTCTCTCTCTCTATCTCTCTCTCTCTTTCTCAATACTCAACCTGCCCTATCTATATTTTCCCCCCTCTTACATTTACACTTTTCTCTCTCCCCATCTCTCTCTCTCTCTCTCTCTCTCTCTCTCTCTCTCTCTCTCTCTCTCTTAATACCTGCTTCACATTCCTTGGTAATTATCTCCCTTCCTTTCCCTCTTCTTTTTCTTTCTAAAATGTTTCCCCTTATTTCCCTTCTTTTCCACTGTCTCTACTTATTTTTTCTCAGTGTGTGTATATGTGTCTCTGTGTGTGCGTGCGCACGCATGCGCACGCATGCGCAAATGTGTCTCTCCTCTCTATAACTTTATCGTCGATTTCTTCGTCTTCGTTGTTTCCGTTTCGAAGCCGGAGGCTCATGATCAAAAGCAATAGACACGCCACTAAAAACTATGATCACTCGGCCATAGACGCTAGTAAAAACGGGACACAATGTTAATCAAAATATAAATGTCGCAAACGTCTCAAACAGAATAAGAAAATAAAAAAAAAAAGGAAACGCACCATCGGACGCTAGGAGCGCCACCTAGAGGAGTTATAAAGAGAAACGCTCAATTGCTTACTCTTCTTATTGATCTTATCTCACTGCACGCGACAACCTCACAGCAACGGTTGAATCACAGAGATTCATGCTTCAATTTATGAAGGCTTTCTTTGCCTGAAAATTCTTTATGATATTTTGAAATTCTTCAAATATAGACTGGAGTCTCTCTCTCTATCTCTCTCTCTTTCTTTCTCTCTCTCTCTCTCTCCTCTCTCTCTCTCACACACACATACTCTCTCTCTCTCTCTCTCCCTCTCTCTGGCTGACAATTCTTTATGATATTTTGAAATTCCTCAAAAATAGGCTGGAGTCTCTCTCTCTCTCTCTCTCTCTCTCTCTCTCTCTCTCTCTCTCTCTCTCTCTCTCTATCTCTGTCTGCCTGAAAATTCTTTATGGTATTTTGAAATTCCCCAAATATAGGCTGTTCTCTCTCTCTCTCTCTCCCCCCCTCTCTCTCTCTCTCTCTCTCTCTCTCTCTCTCTCTCTCTCTCTCTCTCTATCTATCTATCTTTCTCTCTCTGCCTGAAAATTCTTTATGGCATTTTGAAATTCCTCAAATATAGGCTGGTGTCTCTCTCTCTCTCTCTCTCTCTTTCACACACACACACACTCTCTCTCTCTCTCTCTCTCTCTCTCTCTCTCTCTCTCTCTCGAATAACCAGATATCGAATTATTACTTATCACCAAACCCATTCAGAAATATCTAAACTCTCATCTGTGTACAACCGTTCTCAAACCAGCGGGTCCATCCATCCTTAAACATTGTGACTGGCGCTACAGAATCAAAAACAAAGAACTGTACCAAAAAAATCAGAATCACTTGAGAACTTTCAATAGTAACAACAACTAAAATGTAGATAGGATCGCTTATCGCCTAGTTCACAATACTCTCCGATCTTTTGAACAGGAGTAGAGGTTTATCTCTTGTTTCCTGCTTAACATTGGGTTTCCTGTTCCTTCTAAAGCCTTTTCCTTATGTAACAAGCTACCTTGAGGGACTCTTGAACCTTGTACTTGATGAATATCATTGTAAAATGAAGAAGATGAAATAATGACATAATTAAAATGTTAACTAAATGTTAACTAAAAGGTTAAAAAGAAAAGCCTCACAAATACTAGAAAGAGCAATAACAGCTACTGGACTTGAGAAATCTATTTTGCCGAAAAATTGTTTTCAGTGAAAGATTTTATAAATTGCAACTGACAATTGACATTATATTCATTTTTTTTAAAAGATCGTAATTGACAAAAAAAAACAACAAGCTGGAAGAGAGTTCCACAAGCGAAAAGTGCGAGAGAAGAAACTATTAAGATAGAACTTACGGTTCAACTAGCAATTTCGACAATGAAAATGAGATCTAGCCAAGCTACTACTGGGATAAATAGAATTCTTTCGTTTTCTTTATTCATTTCACCCCAAGCAAGGCAATAATGACACTAAGACACAATGTGTTACCGTAAGTGAGAGAAAATGAAAAGACTTTAGTGAGGAGAAAGGGCAATATATGGACAAGTTTCAGGAAGATAGAAAAAGCGACAACTGATGGTGCATTTAAATTTTCAGAGAAGTAGCTGAAAGAAAGAAACTGGAACTGAATTCCACTGGTAAGAATGTTTATATCTAGCTATTTTAACGGTAAAACGATACCACCTTGGGAATGGTTATATCTAGCTATTTTAACGGTAAAGCGATACCACCTTGGGAATGGTTATATCTAGCTATTTTAACGGTAAAACGATACCACCTTCGGAATGGTTATATCTAGCTATTTTAACGGTAAAACGATGACACCTTGGGAATGGTTATATCTAGCTATTTTTACGGTAAAACGATACCACCTTGGGAATGGTTACATCTAGCTATTTTAACGGTAAAGCGATACCTTGGGAATGGTTATATCTAGCTATTTTAACGGTAAAACGATACCACCTTGGGAATGGTTATATCTAGCTATTTTAACGGTAAAACGATACCACCTTGGGAATGGTTATATCTAGCTATTTTAACGGTAAAGCGATACCACCTTGGGAATGGTTATATCTAGCTATTTTAACGGTAAAACGATGACACCTTGGGAATGGTTATATCTAGCTATTTTAACGGTAAAACGATGACACCTTGGGAATGGTTATATCTAGCTATTTTTACGGTAAAACGATACCACCTTGGGAATGGTTACATCTAGCTATTTTAACGGTAAAGCGATACCACCTTGGGAATGGTTATATCTAGCTATTTTAACGGTAAAACGATACCACCTTGGGAATGGTTATATCTAGCTATTTTAACGGTAAAGCGCTACCACCTTGGGAATGGTTATATCTAGCTATTTTAACGGTAAAACGATGACACCTTGGGAATGGTTATATCTAGTTATTTTAACGGTAAAGCGATACCACCTTGGGAATGGTTATATCTAGCTATTTTAACGGAAAAACGATACCACCTTGGGAATGGTTATATCTAGCTATTTTAACGGTAAAACGATACCACCTTGGGAATGGTTATATCTAGCTATTTTAACGGTAAAACGATGACACCTATTTGCCAATCTTGTGCTGTGCTTAAATTTATACAGTCGAGCTACCCAAGAGAAATGATCATCAGAGCAATCACCATTAAAATATTTATCAAAGAGACAAAGAGAAGCTATATTACGGTAGTAGGAAAATGGCTGAATCCGAGATGCGAAGTCAGGGCCAATAAAATTACAGATTTTTCTTTGGATTTTGCCAAGTATTTCTCGTCAGAGTCCATCTCAAGCATCTACAAATCTCGAGATCCTCGACAAAATCCAAAGAACGATCTGCAATGTAATTGGTCTTGAATTGGCTTCTCGACTTCAGACACTCTCTCACAGACGTCATTTGGCATCACTCTGTGTTTTCTACAAATATTTTCATGGCTACTGCTTGACGAGTTTTTTTTTCCATGGTGTTCCGAATATATGAATTTAAGCGTGCTACTAGTTTGACATGTAGGTCCCACCCCTTAACTGTTGAAATAGTTAAATGTAACCGCCACTTCTACTCCAATAGTTTCTTTCCTCGCACTTCCCGATATTGGAACTCCCTTCTTCTAAAATTTAAATGCAATGTCAACCGCCATCTTCTGTCTTCTTGAATCCTCTTCGTTTTTTACCCTTTCCTCACTCCACGCCATTCTCAGTTTTCTCTGTCACTTTCACTCCTTGTAACCACCTCCCTGCATACTAGTGGCATTCCCGCCTTGCTTAGGATGAAATTATTAAAAAGAAAATTCATAAGCTATCATACTGCAATACCTATAGCATGCTGGTTTGCGTGAGCCGATGATAGTTGCCCACGGGGCCATTGTCCAAAATTTTATTCAGGTCCTTTCTTATTCATTCATTTAGTATTGAATTGGAATGGTAAAAGCTGAAAATTAGAGTTCCTGTGACAAAGAATTTTCACCAAAGCACGCACTTTTACTGGTAACTTGAAAAACATTTTTATATTTGATCCCCAATATTTTCGGCTCATCTGTACTTCATTTTTTTTTTTACAGTGAGAGTCGCCTTTTACAAGGCCCCTCGAGGTAGAGCGTTACATTAGGAGGCCACTTTTGTGGCCTTGATCCCTGTCCTTTTTTTTTCTTTTCCTCAACGCCCCCCCTACACCCACTCTTTTCTCTCACTTTCACTTTCCGTGCTAGTCGCACTCCTGCCTTGATTGGAGTGAAATGCTTTAAAAAATGTATATCTAGACACCAAAAAGCAGCACCTGACCAGATGTGACAACGGCATTCAATGCACAGATGAATGATAGACTTATATATGTGCAAGATTCCAGTTCCAGATTATAGTTTCTGTTTTTGGACAGGTTTATCTTGAGTCCTATTTCTTAGAAAACTTGGTAGATGATACTGATTTTCTATTCAAAATCGTTCTTATACTAACTATAACTATATCATCAGCATAAAGATGGAAAGCAGTATTATAGTCAAGAGAACCCTATGATACTATTGAATCGCTTGATAAGCAAAGTCGTTATCATTTCTTTTCAGAAAATGGGCGATCATAACTCTCCAAATATTTCTTTTCTTTATTGCCATTTTCTTTATTGTGAATTACCATCAAATTCTTGGGAAAGATATTGGAGTTTTTTCCTTTTTTCTTCTTCATGGTTTGGGATTCAAAATAGTTCTTTTCCTTGATTAGTTGCCACCCAAGTCTAAAAAATTAGGGAACATTTTTATTTATTTCTCTTCTTTTTAAATGGCATATCCCTATAAAACGTAGGCGATTGTGACTCTCCACAGAATGGCCATGGCTTATTGGGAAAGACAATGGAAAGATTTTCCTCGTTATCCGCTGGGAATTTAGAGTTTTCCTTAGAGACACAAATTTCCCTCTGTTTAACCCATAGGTATAGGGTATAGAGACGAAATGAATTAACGCCTTTCCCAAGTGAACGCAGTAGATTAAACCGGAATTCAAATTCTGCTCACCGGTTATAAGTTCGGGCTTTTAACCGCTACGTTACCTGCTTCCACCTCTTTAACGTTTTAAAAAGATAATATTTATCACTACGTAGACTGTGCTATGAA